TATAGTCTATTAATCAGCAATTTATAATCACATGTAGTTAGATGGTTTGATGGTTATGACTTCGATTTTTTTACTTGAGGTCCCAAGGTCAAATCCCCTTGGGCATGTGTTGCATTCGAATCCCCTTAGACATGTGTTGCATTTTTGTTGTGTATATAGTGATTGGTATAAATATAAATATTTTTGTTGTATTCGAATTCCCTTGGGCATGTGTTGTATTTTTGTTGTATATATAGTGGTTGGTATAAATATAAATATTTTTGTTGTGTATATAGTGGTTGGTATAAATATAAATATTTTTGTTGTGTATATAGTGGTTGGTATAAATATAAATATTTTTGTAAATAATATAAAAGACAAAAAAATGAAAAATAAAAAAATTAATTTTTTATATAACAGTTAATTTTTGTTGTATATAGTGGTATAATTATTTTTGAAAATAATATGAAAGGTATAAAAAAAATAAAAATAAAAAATTTATTCTATTTGAAATCTCCATCTTTCTACTAACAATCTCTTTTATTAAATTTATTATAGAAACCTAAAAAAATAAATTTTTGAAAAATTGAAGTGCTATTTCCAAAATTTGTACGCATTTTATTAATTTTTACATTGATAACCAAATCTTTTATTTTATTTATGAATTTTTACATTATAAATCATGTAATGTACTATTTTTCTTACAGTTGTCAATAATACATTTTAAATTAGATAATATTATAAAATATTTTTAATTTGTTATTATTTGTCTAATAAAATAATTATAAAATGTAAACTAATAATTATAATTTCAGTATATAATATTATAATAAGTGAGGTTGTAATAATTTTGGATTATAGTTAGTTAGGCTGTAATAGTTTGGGTTTTTTTAGCGGGTTAGGGTTTTTCGCCAAAACGAGATTTTAATGGCCATTCTTTCATTGATTAGTCAACTCTTTATAATATTCTATATATAATTATATATTTTATCCATGATAATTCTATGATTTTTCTTTTATGTGATGCAAATTTAATAGTTAAAATAAATTTATACAGGAAAAGAATATCTCAATATTCACAAATTGATAAAAAAAATGAAAGTTAATAATGTAGTACCCTCATTTTTTATTGGATTCCTAAAAAAAATATTTATAATGAATTTTAATAATTTTTTCGGATTTTTTTGAAGCTTTAATCCGACCGATTCAGCTGATTTTCGATCCAGATCGTCGATTCGTCGATCCGAATCGGTTTTGAGGTGCCCGATCCGGGCCACCGATCCGCTTTTTAAACCATTGGTCCTAATTGGAGAGCTATTGGTCCTAATTGGAGAGCCATACAATTTCAATGGATATATGATCTATCCTTTCCTTTTTCAATTATTGAATATTCTACCTTTAACCTCATAAAAGTCCAAATTGATTGAATTGCTCATCGGACGGGCCGACATGGAGGGCAGTTCTAGGTCCGATTTTGCGGTTCTACAAAATTTGCACAAGAAACACCTCAAAGCCGAAACTCACTAGGGTCTTGATTGGGCCAGGCTACATGAAAAGATAACAAATCGCGGAAAATTAAAGAAAAAGGAGGTCCGGCTGGGCTTGGCCTCAGCAGGAGTGCGGCCTTAGCCTGGGCGTGGCCTCAGCTTGGCCTGGCCCTGCCTGGCCGCTCAAGGTGGGGCCGGGCTACATAAAAAGATACCAAATCAAGGAAAATTAAAGAAAGAGGAGGTCCCTCGAGGACAGCCATTGGGCCACATTTGGTGCGCCACGCCCTAATTTATAGGGCCGGGCCACGTGAGGGTGGGCCGGGCGCCCATTGCCACGCCAAAAATTCACTGAGAAGAGCGGAGGAGAACGCGACGCATTAACTAAAGCAAGTGTCAAAATTGCGTCAAAAACCTTCAAGATCCAATTTCCTTTTATAAGTTAAAAAAAGTTCACATTTTCTCCTCTCTTTTGAAGCATATCCCATTTCTAAAGGATACCTGAACCAGGCGTCTGGATCCAAATCAGGTACGCTCTTTTTCATGCTAAATCTGCCCTAAAAATATATTGTTTGGACTGGAGCTTGGGAATAGTTTAGTTAAAAGTAGAGATTAAGCTGATGTTCTTTTTGGATTTGTATCAGAAATGGATTTCATGAAGGTTCTTGATCAGACTGTAAGAGAAATGTGAGTGTCTAACCCTTAATTGTGATTGGGATAATGGCGTGATTCGTGGTCTAGATCACGTTTTTTTTTATAAACTGTGTTTTTAAAGAATTTATGAGGGTTTATTTTGTTAATTTGGGTTGATTGATCGGGCAGAAAGAGAGAGGTGAACATCAAGGTCCTGAAAGTACCTGAACTTGAACAGAAGGTATTGATCTCATGATCCATTTGGAAAGATATATGGTGCTTTGCTGGAATTTCTTCATTATTATGTGCATTTGTAATGTGTCTGTTTATGAATTGGAAATTTCATTGATGTAGATTGCTGATGCTTAGATTGTCATTATAAAAATGTTAATTATTTTTGGTTAAAAGTTATTTGTCAAAATGAATTACTGCATTTTTCTTTTACATAACGTGATGGGAGAACCAACTGTAAAAAGCACAGTTGATTAAATTTTTTATTCATGTAGCTTCATGCTACTGGATTATGTCTCCATAATGAAATTTGTACTAATTTTTGGTAAGAGGTTAATGTCTTTGCCCCATAAAATTATAGCAATATATCTATCATTGTTCTTTCTTTTGTATTAGCTGATGGGAGGATCAGTATTGCAATTCGCATTTAATTTAGGATAGTTCTTTTAGTTTTCTACTGCAATAAAATTATTCTAGTTTCCTTTTATCCCTCAGTGGTGCATTTCTTGAGTTGAAAAATAATGACTTGGTTAAAAAGAACTTAGAAATCTTTTGGATGAGGTTAAATTGCGCATGGTTGTGACATACATCGAAACCACATATCCTTTATGGGTTTCAATCATTTTTGCTAAGTACCTGTTGAGTTAGCCTCCTCACTTAGATGGGCTAATGCCAATTTTCTATGTTACAAGGACATGGATACAAGAATATGTGTCCGACTTGGATTCAAACAATCTGAATCACCAGCTATAGTTGACATGTTTGCACAAGTCAGTACAACACACATGTCTACACTCCATGCATATTTATATGTAATATTAACTTGTGAACTTTTAGTAAGAAAATTAATTAAAAAACTAAAAAATGTGGGTCCAAATCAATCAGTGACATGCATTCAAATTATACATCTATGTGATGGATACCCGTGTTTTACAATGTTGATCACATGTCTCTCAATTTTTTTTTTTCCGATGACTGGTCTGTCCACATGGGAGACATGCTTTGTCTACAAATCCAAAAAACGAAAATTTTCAGACATACTTGTCAACACGGATTTACTTTGTATGTATGCATGTCTTGCATGTCTAAATTCATGTCTAGTGCGTCTCCTATATGCTACATGCAATATATATTTGTCATTCCACCTACAAATTCGATGGGATCACACACACCTGTATGGTCTGTTCAATATGAATATAATTTAGATAATTTTTCTGGCTATATTGATATGGACTTGGTGACAACATATTGAGCAGTGTATATCATTTTTGTCTTCTGGGTCACGATGGTGACCACTAGGTTCGATTGGAACTCTTGCCAAATAAAGATGTAATTTGCAGTCACAAATGTCTTAAGCTTTTGTGATATCTCATGACAATATTGTGGGATCATCTCTTAAATATCGTGGCATTTTGAGACATCCTTGTGTTATTGTGAGTGCTTGTTGTGATCTTTTTGTGAGATATTCCCGCGTTTTTTGAAATTTTTTGTGTTTATTCTGTGTATATATTCTAAAAATTTACCTATTTCCTGTTGCACTTGGGCATTTTAAGCACTCTCACAAAAAAGTCAAACTTCTAAAATATCCCTAGAAAAAAGCATAGAGGAAATCCTAGAATGAAATTTCCCCTATATCTGGAAAAGGGCTCACTCTAATTAGATTATAAACAGAGCTAGAACCCCTTTATCATCTGTATAAAAGGTCACTTTTAATGATCCTACATAGGCTTTGGTCACTTGTATTGAGTCATCTATGGAATCTCTTGTTTTGTTCATTCATATCCTTTTAAATGTGTCAGGAAACACATTCAATTAAGCAATGACTTCATCTAATCTTACCATGGTCCTTTGCCAACCTTGCTTCAAAATCTCACAAGTAACCAAGCAGGACAAATTTGAATTTGGAAATAGTTTCATAAGGCACAAGGAAATTTCCGAGTAGAACTGTACTGCTCCAATTTTTTTTTTCTGCTAACCATTGCTTTAGAAACACCTGCCTTGGTTATCAACCTGGGTCTCAGAGTCGGGCGGTTTCCTTTGCCGCCTCACTAGGGCTTGCTAACCTGCCCTAGCTTGGCGCCTTGTGCCTCAGTCTAGGTGCTTGCCTCAGATTTGCCTTGTCCTAGGTTGGAAAATTCCCTTGGGCAGGGGCATTTTTCATCATTTTAACCTCTACTTAGGGTGAATATATGCTCTTTTTCTTTTTTTAATTTATTGGGGAGGGGGGTTTGGGTATCTCAATGAATTGGTAGAACTTCCATATCTTCAGGTTTCTAGAATTCCAAGTTGAATCAAACACAAGTTCCTAGACTTCCTAGAACTTCTAGATAGCTTATCAAGTGCAACATTTGCCAGACATAAAAAAATCTAGCTTCTAGAAGTCTATAACTTCTAGCTTCCAATTACTAAACGAGCCCTAAAACACCTAAAAAAAGATTTCCTTAAGAGGAGTAAATTCGGTGTGCGCCACAATCATTTAGTTCTAGGGACTTTAAGAACTCAAAATCATTTTTTTGAATTTGGTGATGATGATAACGTCTAGCCATGTTGAGGTCAAACAAGTTCCTATGACGCCTTAATCTAAAATCATGTTTTTCTTGCGTGAGATGGCAACTTGCATTCATTGCATTCTCTCTCTCTCTCTCTCTCTCTCTCTTTCTCAATAAAAAAAAAACCATTTGGGCTTTTTATTTGGAATTTTTTCGTGAGCTTGTTTGTAGGGATGAATATGGGTTGTTTGCAAAATTCGGGGTTGAACAAATCTCCTTAGATAAGTTTGTTTAGGAGTTGTTGGATTTCCGTATAAGCTAATCTCTTTCAAAAAGTTGCTTTTACTTTATGCAACATAACTTTATGCCTTTTTGGCAGGGGCTTTTGGTTTGGAAAACCAAGATCTCTTAAAAGAAGCTCTCTTTGAGTCTTCCCCCCCTTTCCATCCTTAATCTCGAATCCTCCAACCCATCTTCTGCAATCACAATTGAAATTGCAAAAACCATTTTTTGCTCCTTAAAAAGCATATGTTCCAGAGACTCCATGAATTGGAGCTTGAACCTGAACGTTTAGAGCTTCTAAGGCACTACTGAAGCCCTCATCTATGTCAAAGTTTTAAGGAAGTTTAGTACAATGAAGGAATTCTAAGGGATTTTTAGGTGGAGACGAGTTGGAGATTTAGCAGAGGCCAACACAGCATATGAGGGGGGGAAGGAGGAAGGGAGGGAAAGGAGGAATTCGGGTTCAGAGGGAGAATGGGGTTTACTCAAGGATCAAGTTTTTTCTAAGGCTTGGAAGCTCCATATTTGTACTAGTCATGAGGAAAATAAATCAAAACGATTTAGTGTTAAGAAGAAAACGTATAACTATTAGTTAGATTGCCGGATTGAGCTGCTCCTTCTACAAATGCTTGCAAACCCAGCCGCTTGGATGATGGTTTAATGGTTGTTTCTCTCTCTCTCTCTCTATATCTCTATACCTTTGAATTCTCTCTCTCTCTCTATATCTCTATACCTTTGAATTCTCTCTCTCTCTCTCTGTTTGTTTGTCTGTCTGTCTGTCAATGCTTGTTAATTTCGTTTGGCTCTCTGTTCCTTGCAATTTTAGTGCAGGTCTCTCTCTAGCTGGCCTCATCCAAACAACATGTAACACAAAAATGCAGATAGAGCTGCATATATATCCTACAAATGTCTACCAAACAACTAACAAAGCGATATTATAGATTTACACTTGATCGAAGTAAGTTCCATTGAAACAAGCCCATGTATTGGCTAATGACACTTGCTTTGCAAGATACTATACTCCAGCTGTGAATTAATAAAATTGTTTAATAATGAAAATAGTAAATTATTTTAAATTTGCTATTTAATTTTTAAGCTAATATTTGTTTTTACCATTGCTTTTGTTTAGTTTTCCATGTGTTCTCTACTTTGTTATACATAATTTTGTTGCGAAGTTTGTTATTTTTATTTTGTTACTTATATTTTGCCATTTCCATACTTTTTTTCGACATACCTACCTATGCTGTTGAGAACATAGGATAGGTATCTAGTTGTTTTAATGGGACTTCTTATTATAGTAGGAAATCCTATTTTAACGTTAATGGAGGTAAGAAATTCCTAGTTTTTGATTGTTGGGGGTTTATATTTTCATTTTTTGTAATGATACCCATTAAGGATAGAGACTAACTTGACTGGAGCAATGGAATTCCAATTTTAGTGGAATTTCATTTTTGATTGGAGTTACTATGTGAGGTTTTAGGGAATTTTGAGGGAGGTAGGAGTAATGGATAAAACTCTACTTTTCTCCTTTAATATATTGTGAGCCTGCTAACAGATGGAATAGTATTAGCCCAACTGCCCGAATTCAACCTCGATATCTGATGACCAGTGTGTGTGGACATTCTTCGAATTTAGACTTCTTTTATTTATCCATTTGACCTGGAATTTTGGGACATGTGCACCTCACCAAGGCTCACAAAACATAAAATCATCATCATCATCATTGTCACCATCTGAGCCTTATCCCAGCTATTTGGGGTCGGCTACATGGATCCTGTTTTGCCATTTTGCTCCATCAAGAGCCATACCCTTAGTAAGATCATATGTCACCGTATCTTTTCTCACTATTCCCATCCATATCCGTTTGGGCCTTCCCTTTACCCTTGTAGAGCCTTCCACTTGAACCAAATCGCACCTTCTAATACCGGTGCTGTATTAGGTCTACATTGCATATGGCCAGCCCACCAAAGTCTACTTGCCTTCTTCCACACCTAAATTCCTTTAGATGTATTCATTTCGGATTCTATCATTTCTTGTCTTGCCACTCATCCATCTCAACATCGTCATCATAACTATACTCATCCTATGGATATGTTTTTTTTTTTTACCATGCGACATTCAATTCCATAAAGCATGGTTGGTCTTATAGCCATCCTATAAAACTTCTCCTTCAGTTTCATTGATATGCAGCGATGACATAAAATTCTAGATACACATCTCCGCTTTGCCCATCCAACTC